TTTGGGGAGCTTTTTAAGTCGAAAGCAAGTCATTGAGCTCAAAAACAGGAATGTGAAATTTTGATTTTTGATCGAAATTTTCATAAGGTGGATTTTTTGAAAAATAAAAAAATCTCAAAATGCCTCGAGTTATACATCATTTTCATCTGAATGAAGTGAACAATGCAATTAGCTGATCAAAAAACTCGTCGGAAGCCTCAGACCCAAAATAATCGGCATTTTCGGCCCAATTTAAACAGTTTTGAGAGGTCACGATTTTTAACCTACGTAACCGTATTATGTATCCAAACACTTTATATGTGCCCAGTGGGGAGCTTCTTAGTTCGGAAAAAAATCCATTGAGGTCAAAAAACACGCATGAAAAAGTAAGATTTTGGACCGAAAATTTCATAAGGGGTAGAGGTCGAATTATGTTAAAATCATCACTTTGTTCAAAATACCTCACATCCGAAATCATTTTAATCTTAAACAGGCAAATAATACGGGATAATTGGAAAACATGCCAGAGCCCTTCGAACCAAAATAATCGACAACAACAACAAAGCAGCCTATTTTGAGCGGTTTCGACCTTTAACCGATATTTCGATATATTGGAGACTTTTTCGCAAAAAAACTTGAATGATTCATAATGCTTCTGATCCTATGCCATTTTCGTTGCAAGAAAGTGACTAACTCAACGAACCCATAAAATAACACATTACGAATGCCTTCAGTAAGTAGTAGAGATTAAGGAACTCAACCAAAGATTAAGGATAACATAAACCGACTTCATGTATGTCGATAACACACTTCAATATGAAAAGATCCAAATTGGTATATACTTATGTAAATGTGTCTTATCAAAAATTATCGATAGAAAATGAAATACGGCGGTAAGTTCTATTAATCTCGGATAAACATGCGACTTGTAGATCGTTTTTATTTATTTTTGATAGCGGCTTATAATTTAAATCAACAAAAGGGGAGACATACAAAGAAAATAAAATCTGAGAAAACACTTGAAACGCCGATTAAATGGATTATACTGTAATCATTTCGAAATTTCGTTCGAGTAGTAATATTAAAATTGAGAATTATTTATTCCCACCGAACCGCACAGTAATGGCCTTTTAAGGCTTGATATGTCTGCTGTGAATTAACTATTTTATAACTTGCAACTGGCAGTTAGCCATCGCTGCCTGGAAACTATTTTTGTTTAACGAGAAAAATCGCCTCAGGCTTAATTATTTTAAAATCTTAAAACCTAACTTAGATTTAAATATATAACTTCAACCCTCTGTTCGTTAACAATTGAGTGATATTTTTAAGTTCTCCGGAATTTCAGCATTGAACGTTCGCTCAATTCAACCATAGAAAACAGACAATGTTATGAATTTATTTAAACAAAATATACAACAATTAAACACTCCGCTTTAAGCAATTTAAGTTACGTGCTTCTTAATTGTGCAATTTCAAATGGAATGAATTAATATGTGAACTTGTAAAGGCATTGTTGAAGTCTGCAATTCCTAGCTAATCAAAATCATTGGTGTCACCGTCTCGATTTCTGAGAAATATGGTGGAAATGTGGCACATATTTGGGTGCATGTTTTGATTTTGTAACCGATTATTGTGCTTTACTGAGGAAAATAAAATGAATGTATGTGATATAATTCAAATTACTCTGGTCAATCAATTTCGAATGATTCCTAGAATGGCTTGTTGTTTGAAATAATTTATGATTATTTGCTGTTTTCAAACGATTTCTTACTGATACCTATATGGTTTAAAGGTTCATATTAATAATGAAGACATCATTCAAGGTTTAGTACGTAATTAGTAAGTTCATTCGAGTAATTATAGCTGCCTTGAACAAGGTTGACTTGTTCAAGAGGGTGTTTTAAATTAATTGTGTCGTTTCGAGGGACGTTAAATGCCCGAAAAACTCACCACTTTCATAACGGGTATTTCCTCTGCATGATCATTTGTTTTTTAAATTAATAATTATGTAGTTAATAATGGATCTCATTGCCATATATTTCTCTAAGTATTTTTGGAAATAATAGATTAACTTTTCAGAAAAAAACAACAATAATTATCTCTAAGGATTGCCATTTCATTTATCAATTTGTTGTCGAATGTAAAATGCAATAATACGGGATCTAAGTACATAATTAATTTTTAATAATAATTAGACGGACTGTACGAAAAATGATAAAAACTAAATTGCTCTGCACCATTTTATCAAAGGCATGTAAGTAAACAGTCTTCGCATTAATTTATTGGTAATAGTAATTGCTTGACGATTCATAGATAAATTTGCAGCTATTAATAAATCTAGATGTAAATGCTTTACAAATCCTACTAACTGGATAATTTTGTTTAAGCGATCACTGCTGCTGACCTAAATAATCATGGATTTAGGAATTTCTGAATGTTAATCTTAAAGGGTTATTCGGAATGTATGACTTGATTGAAGATAATAGTGATACTTGCAGACGATTCTAACACGTGTACAACATATTAATTAATTTGGAAAAAAAAGAAATTTTTAATTTCCAGTCTTCTATATATAATGGCTAACTGAGTTATTATGTATATAGGTAGTTGTAGTTATAATTAACCACTAAGCAGTGACAATAATTGTTATTACTTATTACCGTCCATTAGTATGAAATAGAACTGATGGTAATCATTCAAGGTTTTAAAAAATAGCTTAAACTTTAAACCTTAGATCTTGGCACTTTACACTTATTTTTATAATATCGATATTTGACGTATGCTTTACCTATATTTCATGTTGCTTATGAACCAATTACATATCGCTATGACACTGGTGTTTTTGCGCTCTTGTTTACCTAGAAGGCAATTAGTTATATTATTTACCGAGGCTTAATGGAAAATACATTATTAATTGGACTTGTTAATAATATATTCACAATATTACGTCAAAGGAAAATGCCTTAGAAAATTGTCATAATGTGTATAAATCTGGGATAATTTCGCTCCAATGTACTTTAACGTCCCCGACCACACCGCTCTAGCCACAAGGAGAATATAACTATAATTTATTTGATCAGTTATGTATGAGTATAAGACGGTTCAGCGACTAAAATAGTATCTATGTTAATAACAAAATCTATAATGCGTGTCGTAGAAGTCACTTTTCACAACCTATAATAATCGTCAGATCCAAATCAAATATCATGCTTTAATAACGACTGTTTAACAATAGAACACACTATTCTAACAACATAATATTAAAAATTTAGACTTCTACTAAGTGAAGGTGACTGAATTGCCCAACACTACAAACTATACGATAAGGTATTTTAGTAGGTAATTATAATATACAGGTAATATAGTATCAAACTCATAGTTGCAAGTGAGTTTGGCCAGGATTAAAAAACACATTTTTTATAGGAACACGTAAGCACCCACATGTAAGGAATTATTTATCCCACTACGTTCTTACAAACGTACCAAACTAGTAATTATCTTGTTAAAACTTAAAGAACTATGTATCTGAGACGCGGTTGTCCTCAAGTTCTTCATTTCTTTCATTCAAAGGGAATGATAGTGTTACTCTAATAGATTTTATTTCTTCTGATTTGCCATTGAGGGACTCCGGTTAAATTCATTAGTATTTATCGATGGAATAGGTAATTACGAATCAAATGCATAACACGTGAATTATGAGCTTATTTTCGCCAATCGAAAAACCGGATTAGCATTTTAAATAAAAATATCGTGAAAAAGCTCGCCAGTTCAAATCCGAAATTATCCTTTAATGATGATTCAACGCAAAGTGAAATACATCGATTTCCATTTATAATACAACGTGCTTATACACGGCTAACCTAGGATTAACCCAATCTGGCATTAACGTGGACTAGGGATGAGTTCTCTATTGACATTTCCGGTAATCCGGTTGGCACCAACCGATTTACCTCGGAAATTATTACGGTGAGTTTGCTTATATCAGAGAAATATGGAAATGAGATTGTTTAGCACCAGAATAAATAATTGGAGAATATTCGCTAAATCCAGATTATTTTCATCGATAAATACAAAGAGAAATGCTAACTGAAATCAGTGAGCAAGCATCAAGAAGAACACGGATGATTGTCGTGTTTTGACGGGTTGACTTCATTAATAAGCAATTTCCATGATATTTAATAAGTTCGAACACTCGTCTAATGACAGTACTATAAAACAGGTAAAGTGTAATTCATTTAACGTATTACCCTCAAATAATTAGCCATAATTATATTTAAGTATGCGTTTATGGTTGGGTATCTAATTAAGACGATATATAGGTATACATACGTGCAAAGTACAGATACGCGTGTTAATGTATATTTAATTTATTTTAAAATCAGACAAGGAAAGTGTGATCGAAATACTGTTATGGTGCTCATTTTCTGAACATTATGTAGCTGACAAGATTTCTTGCACTCGCACAATGGTGGATTTTTCAGGTTCCTAACACTTAAAAAACAGATATTTTCCATCCCTGTATGGTTTAGGTGAATTAAAAAGCAAAATAAACGATCTACTATTAAAAATAGGTCCAAAAAACCATTAGGCCCCAGCGGAAGATATTTCTACCTGAGTGATGACTTTGAAGATGAGTCCAGTGAATTTTATTGGTATATCTATCTTGAATGTATTTTAGTCGTGGCTGGTAGACTGTTGTGAAACTTCTTTAATTGATAAATTATTAAGCGATTTGACAAATCAGCCGAAATGAGTTTGTGAATGATAAACCGCCAAACCTTCAAAAGCACAGATATGCAATTTGATGAATAAACATAATCAGGCGTGCTTAATTAAAACTGCGTTTTTCAAAAATTCGTTTCTGGGACAACAAATATGAGGCGCTTTGCCATTGTTTTGGGCAATTGAACATGATGACTATCAATAATTTTTCCTGGCTGATTCAAAAAGTTGCAAAGCCGGGTTTAGGGTGGAACATTTCTGTTAGGGAAAATGTTGTTTTGTGTAAATGAAGAAGTTACCTGACTGGTAACTTCAGAGATTGGTGCTCCCTTAATGCTGGCAGCTACCCAGGCTTCCGCAAACGTCTCCATTGCACTTTGAAAGTCCATTGCCATCGTTCAAACCATGCGTATTTGGTGGTAAACACAAAAAAGTCTTGTGAGCCTCTATGCTTTCCCCATTACGACGACAACGTGACTTTTCGATCGTAAAGCGGACGCGCGAATATCACTTATACGACAGTAGAAACGATACTGAGCGCGCTATTCGCTCATTTCGCGTAGCTGGAGTTACCGGAATCGAGAAGGAAACGACGCCGACGGTGGTGGCAGCGGATAGCTCCGGAATTCGCACCACCCCCGAAGACATCCACGGTTGTCGGATTTTATTGTTAAAAAACATTTAGCGTCTTTTCCTAAGGTCTAACGTGGCGCTGCCTCAGCAGCTGGCCAACTGTGGCTAATGGAACAATCAGATAGAATTTTGGAATTTTTCCATGAGGGATTCCAGGATGCTTTGAGCTGTTACACAACCTGGAGAGGAAAACTCGGAAATTAGGCATACAGAATGTGTACATTTACAGATATCCTTTTGCCACTACAAAACATTCAAATTAACCCCTTAGGAGCTTTAACTCAGCGTAAAAAATTCTGCTGATTTTTTTTGCAAAAAGAGTGATTTGATTGTCAAAAGAGGTAGAGTTTCGCTGTCTCTTGCTTCAAACTGGTGAGTATTTCGGGCTTTTAGGCCCGTGCGGAAAATTTTAAGCACGAGCATCTTAATGAAGCAATGTAACGGAAAATACATAGACCAGAAGTAGATTTTCGTTATTTTAGGCTTTTGTGGAAATTAACTTCGTCCTGACGTTTCGTAAGCTCGAGATCCTTGCATCTTCAGAGGTGTTGCTGTCGTTTTTACACTTTACTCTTTCTTCGTATCCTTAATAGCCATTTGTCCATTACACGTATTTATTATAAACATAAGCAAAATAGCCCCCGTGTAAGCAGTTAGCAACATGTATGTACTTAATCATCTATAAGTGCTAACGATGTATTTCCTTCGACGTAACTTGAACCATTCTTAAGATATTCTTAAATCTGTTCATGCAAAGTGTTAAGGTTTTATCCCTATTTTGTATATTCTTGTTTCACGGAAACCTCTTCAAACCCATTGGAAGCGCGATTTGAGTCAAAAAGGGCTTTTACCTGTCTCGCTATTTGCGACCTTAGAAATTGCGGAGTGAATAAAATAAAGTTTTTGATATTGACGGAGAAAATTAGTGGACTTTCCTACCAATTCGAAACCGAACTTTTACAAAAAAGTGAAAGCCACAGGTGGCTTTAACACCTTCAATTGTTAGTGGCCAATTTTCGTAGCTCTCTTGATGCAAAAGGACAGTAAAATATTTAAGAAGAATCAGGACTAAAATAAGTGTGGTGCAGATGATTACAAATGGCAGTACAAAATGTGTATAAATTTTTATTTTATTTTATTTTTTTTTATTATCTCCCAGTATTTTTACAATCTACCCGAAGGTATTCAGTAATCTAGTTTGGCATACAATACAACATGTAGGGTATTGGCCATCCAAATCCCCTATTTTAAATCAATTAATTAATTAATTGTTTATGACTACTGGGTTTTCAAAGCGTATTACTTAAATCTAGTAGTTAGGTTTGTAGGATTAAATCTCTTCAGTCTAATGTTGTTAAATGGACTCCTCCAGAGTATAAAATTTGAATAGAAAAAGTACAGAGATAATAAAAGCTTCATCAGTTCAAACGGGCATTTTTATGCGGGCTTTTTCGTTTTGTCTCCTGCCTAAAAAAATATCCTATTGAACTTTCTGCACATTAAATCCTTGCTGTTGTAGCAAAAGCTAAATAAAGCGCGTGCTTGCAAAGCTATGCAGTCTTCAAGAATAACCTAATGGAATTGCTAGAAGAAATAAATATGAAGGTAATAAAAAACAGAAATTTGTAGATGAAAATTCGAAAAAAATGCGTAAGAGCGTTTGTTCAAGATATGTGCTTTTCACGAAGTTCTACTATTAGTTTTCTAACAGTCTGCTCCATTCGAGTTGATCAATCCATTCCAGAACGGAAAGTAAAAAGCTGAGTTTTAATGCATTCTCCTTAAAATTGACAACATTGTCTGAGTGCCGTCAAGACGTTTAACGCTTTTTAAAAGCGATCAACCGACGCTTTTTCTTAATGAATATGGCCGTCCCGCCGATATCCCGCCTGCCGGATTGAACGCGATCCAAGCGATACTGGGATCAATCGGTAAAATCCTGGCGTGTTTCTCTCCCGCTCCCGCTGTTCCCCGATTTTTCCACCTCGCTCTTCCTGCTAAGCGTCTCAATCGTTTAACGAAAATATATTCTTGAAGAATGTTTGAAAAGGTAATCCGACGCCTGCGCCCGATAGCGTCGGCAGCGTCCAGACGCCAAATGAATAGATATGGAGGCGGGGTTTTCTCGCAAGAGAGAGGCGGATCGACGAAAAGGTATGTCCCACAGGCAACAAAGGGTTCAGGAAAATTATTCATCCCTCCAGATTTGACGTTCTCCTCTCGCGGATCACACGTTTTTCCATATTCTCCTATCTGTTTGTCCGCTGTTCATTTTTCCACACTGTCCTCATTTTCCATTGCGCCACCCACAATCAACCACCGGTTCTCTTCACTTAATTATTTCCATTGTAGTTAATATTTATGGAATGTTGCTCAGTTTTTGCATTCTTAAGTTTATGTTGTCTTTTTAGTTCACCCGAAAAAGGCCCCTCCATCAACTGAAAAACAAATTATTGAGCAAAAATGATTATTTTCCAACTTCATCATGTTAAGCAGTTCAATTTCCAATTAATCCGAATAACACCATCAGCAACAGGTGATGAACGCATCTACATACATGTAGGCAAAACTCACCGCTAAAACACACGCACAATTAGAATCTTTTAGCCTTTTAACTTTGAGTTTGCACTTTTTTTCCTGAAAAAGTGGAATAATACATGGCGAAGAAATATAATAAATGCGTAGTCAATCGAATAATTAGCATGAAGCGAAACGGAAAGAAATGCATTATGACAAAAAAAACTAGTTATCAAGAAGAACAAACTGTTAATTATGTAGACGCTGTTATGGTGGAAACAGATAGCGTGTGGCTGAATTCAATCAACGGCCCTCATAATTGTTTTTGAACACGTTTACTTTATATAATTAAGTAAATGAAATGCACTAAAAACTGAAACATTGCAAATAGTTGCTAGATATTTCTATAATTAACGCAATATAGGGTATTTGATTACAAGTAGGTGCTTCAATGTAATCTGTTTGAATACCAAATTATTTTTTGTTAATTGATTTTTGATGACAAATAGAAAATAGTCTACTTCAAGATGAAGAACCAGACTACTGATTTTTTCTGGGCAAGTTCAAATCTGGATCTTCCTTTGTCTGATCTGTAAATCACATTATTTACGTTGCTATTTCGATAGAATTTTTAGCGACAAACCTGAAATTTGCTACTAAATCTTAATTTGTCAGCCAATAGAGCTGAATTTCACGCTCATTTGAAAACAATGCATGTAAGGAAAGCTGCTGGCAATTTATAAAAATCATAAAATGTTTTCTATGCAATTGAATTAAGCCATGATATTCAACTAAAGAATGCAAAGGTCTGTCATCGGCTAAGAGGATTATCCCGTTGATTGTGGCGAGCTATAAGGATTTTTACCTGACTTTAGCCATCGATCAAACTTAATAGTCGTAAACTTGGGATCATCATATTATAGTCGATTTAAATTTAGCTGCCAGTAAATAGGTTCGAATTTTTACGTTCTATTTAAAAGAAACTGGTACATTTTCAGATTAAAAGATTACGTTAAGCTGCCATGAGTTATGGCGATATAAGCTGTGGTTAATCTGCATTCTTGGTGTGTAGAGTGCGGGAATAAATGATGCTTCTGCGCTTTTAAATATTTTTTGGGTAAACGCAAAACACAGAATATTTCAACCCGGACCCAAAGTCAAACTGAGATGATTTCAAGATGTGTTAAATCAACAAGATAAATTAAACCCATATAAACCGTAATAACCCTGATATATTTCTCGAATCATCCTATTTGGTTTACATAGAATTTTGCTATTTATTTTTCAGATTATTAGACTAGGCTACTGTAATGCGCAGAAATACTCATTACAGAAAATCCTTTTATAACAGCATTATCTTAATTTGGTAATGTTTGTTCTTGCTTAGATAATTTTTAATCTGACGCTCACGTTGGCTGTACAGCACTGTTTTTCCAGATCTGCATTTCGTTTCAACATTATTTTACGCTTTGTGGAAGTAAAAATACAGGAAGATCTTAAACAGTCACCTTTAGTCATCTAACACCTGCTGAAATGGCTCTTCAGATCGTGTGTTGAAAAAAGATTGGCTTTTATTTAAAAATTTTCATATTAATTAGTCACCACGACGCAGCTCGTCTTCATTTGATAACACAACAATTTATATTTTAATAACTCTCATTTTAGCATAGATTTTAGATTAAGCTGAGCGTGCAAGGACCCCCCTTGGTGAGTTATGGCTATTTATTTTCTTTAAAAGTCCGTTTAGTTAATGAAACTATATACTAATGAATTTAGAAGAGAAAGTACATAAATCAATAATCTATAGTATTGGTTGATTATTAGAAAATATTTGTAATCAACTTCGAAGGTATCTTTGGGGCAGCATTTCTTATGCAACTGTTATGCACGCTTAAGGAAAACTGAGCAGAAATCTAGTGATGGAGTAAATTTTATAATTTTTAGTGCCTCATTGACCTCATCGACAACCACCAAAATTCTAGTGACTAATATTAGTTCGCTTCATTTCGACAGTCAAAAATGATACAAAACTTCTTATACAATATATCACATTCATAAACTCATTAAAATTTCGATCGCTCATTGATGAATCAGACAAATATTTATAGCATTTTCTAGTAGTACTTTGTTAGAATAATTAATTAATAACCTGCGTTTTGCACTAATGAATTCAACTTTAGCTGATTGAAACCTTTTTTACAATTTTACATAACAATTTTATTATGTCTAAACACACAATCGTTGGGATTTGCTCAATTTATACTTATCATTACTTAGTACGTTTATCATGATACCTAAATCATTGTTCTGATTTATTTAACCAAATAAGGCCAGTGCTTAGGTTTGGCTTTATTGTTTTTAAATTCCCATATTTACAATTGCTAATCTCATCTTTTAAACTTTTCACTTGACATAAGCA